GGAGGCACCGGAACTGAAACCAGAATCCACAGGGAACTGGCCGCTCCTCAGATGGGGAAAGGGTCGGGGATGGGGAGCTAGGAAGACAGAGAGCAGTTGCTAGCCTGGCTCACCTGCAGCATGCCTGTGCCGTCAGCAGCAAAGGTCAAAACAGAAAGATGGGGGAGTTTGCTGCGGAGCTCCCAGCCAGGAGATGAAACCTCCTGAGTCACAGAAGGTCGCTTCTTGCCCTGGCGGTTTCCACAAGTTCCATGGAGCCACAGTCTTGCCTATAGACTGTCTCTCCCACTAGATCTTTGGGGCCCATCTTTCAGAACCCCTTTAAAAACTCCCCAGCCACCAATGCCAACATCTCTAACAATGGTGTGTGGTAACCTTTCATGTCTGTGGAGGACCCTGTAAGACAGATCAGGACAATGTCCCTGGGTTTCACCCTGCTCTTCATTGGCTGTGTGGCCCTGGAAAAATTAATTCACCACTCTGTTCCTCAGTTTCCTCATCTCTAAAATTTGCCTCCTCATGGAGTTTTTCAGGGGATTAAATGAATTACATAAGTGCTATCTGGGGGTTAGCTATTATTAATATTTCTGTTATTAAATATAGTGCCCTGTAGAAAGCGGTGGCTATGGACTCCAAGCTGTATATCCTTGGGAAGGTCTTTTAACCTCTCTGGGCATCAGTGTCCCTGTTGGTAAATGAGATGATGATTATATCACTCTGTAGCAGATTGAATCATGGCCCTGCAAAAGACATAACCTTATTTGGAAAAAAAGGTCTTTGCAAATGCACTTACATGAAGGATTTCAAGAGGACATAATCCTGGCTTATCTGGGCAGACCCTAAATCCAGTGACAAGTGTCCTTATAAGAGGAAGACTGAGGGGGAGGTGAGACATGGAGAAGGCCACGTGAAGATGAAGGCAGGGAGTTACGCAGCCCACACGCCAAGGAACACCTGAAGCCCTCAGAAGCGGGAAGAGGCGAGGAGGAGGTCTCCCCTAGAGCCTTGGAGGGAGGGCAGCCCTACCAACACCTTGAGTTCAGACTTCCAGAACCATGAAAGAATAATTTCTCGTGTTTTAGGTCACCAAGTTTGTGGCAATTTGTTACAGCAGCCACAAGAAACTAGTACACTCCCTCACAGGATGGCCACAAGGACTGAAAAAGGTAACAACCATAAAGTAGCCAGCACTCAACAACTTATAACAATTACTGTAATTTACTCCCTCCTCTGGACCTTCATTTCCCTGCCCATAAAATGAGAATGTTAGACGGGATAAAGGTGACCCAGTTTTTGCAACTGTGCGCCACCTCCTGCACCAGCCCACCCCTTTACATGGCAGGTTGGACCATGTCCACGAGTTAATCCCCCACCTCCCTCCTTCTCCTGTCCCTCATTCTAAGGATCCATGATGGGGAGTGGCCCCAGCGCACAGGTCTTCACATCTCTGTGTCCAAGCAGACCCTTGTCTTTACCCCTGGCTCCTTATTGGAGGTGATGCTGAGAGCACTGAATCCTGATGCGCCACCTTGCAGATCTTCTGACAGGAAAGAAGACCCCAGGCAAATCACTCTGCTCCCTAGGACATGGCCACCCCAATTATATTTTATGAATTATGATATTCTCCTCCTCCTCAGGGCTTGAGGAAGAGGAAGCACTTAAGACAATTTTATGATTTATAAATGAAAAGCATATAAAGCAAAAAGAGTGTGAATGGTGGGGTAATAACACATATAAAATAAAATGTATGGTGACATTTTAAATGTCAATGACACTTTAAATTTAAATTTACAATGGAAAGGATAGCCGAAAGGATGGGAGGGAGGAGACGGTGACGCTTCACACTTGCTTTGGAAGGGAGGCAGAGGCCCCCTGACTAGCCTCCCTGGCCCCACTGCCTCTCCTCTCTCGCTCTCCCCCTGCCTCCAGGAGTCTGGAGCAGAGGGACGATCTGAGAGGGGTAGGGGAGCAATAGAGCCATCTATCTTTCTCAGAGATAAATTTGGCCAGATCCCTTCCTTGCTTAAATCCCCTCAATCATTTCCCACCTTGAAAAATTCTAGCTCCTCTTCTAGACCAAGACATCGGTTGCACGTAGAAGAATAAACAGCCTCCACTCAATCAGGTAACAAGAAAAATGGTAGCACAGGGCTACCCCATGGTCAATCCTGGATGCTGTTTTCTTCCCTGTTCTTTTCAACTGGCCAAAAAGAGAACTCTCTTACCTGTCTATTAACAAACAATGCTTAGCTATTAGCTATAGCTGTAGATATGCAGAGACAAGAGACTCAGCAGACCTCAGGCACAGAGCCACCAGCTCCTCATCCCATGGAAGCAGTGACCAGCTTCTTCATGCTGAAGGCATGATAATTCTCTTATCCATCAGGGCTCAGTCCTGTGAATGGTATCAAGGCTTTAATTTCTCAAAAATTCTTCAAGGAAATATTTTTGCCCTCAAAATTGCCTCATTCTTTTCATCTAGCATGATGATTTCTTTTATTATTCAGTAACTGAAAATTCACGAAATTCTGTGGTTACAGCAAAAATGTGTCATACACACAATTCTGTATGTCCATGCAATGGGACTGAGAGAAGATAACAATGAAAACTACCATTTCTTTCCCCAAAGTTTAATGGGCCTTCAACATTTTATTTTTTCACTTATAATATTTTCATCCCTTTAATAAAAAAATTGCATTTTTAAAAGACATAATTAGGTATAAGTCTCTGTAAAAATAATGATTGAAGCACTGTACTTTCTTAGATTAGTTTCAGATTCTCAAATGCAAATGTAACATTTCCAAGTCATACTTTTAGAAGCAAGCCTGAGAGCGTAGTTGGTCCATCCAGAAAGGCAGCCTGGAGAAATGGAAAGAGCAGTGGGCTTCAGGAAAAGCAGCCAAGGATCTGAATTTGAGGTTAAGCTCTTCCTATAGAAAGAGGGATCTTGGGCAGGTCACAAAGCTACAATGTCCTTGCCTGATTAATGGATGGATCTCTTCTGCCCACCACTCTTGAGAAAACTGCACTTGTAAATGGGCAAGCAGACAGTGCTCTGTGGTGGACTGGGATAAATGTTCTCCCACCTTCCTTACCCCCTCTCTCTGGGCTCAAGGCCCATTTACCCTAGGGAAGCAATAGTAAAGGGATGATTAGAGAAAGTCATCAAACACACTTGAGTAACCAGCCTCCAGATCAAGAAACCCCAGAAGGGCCCTTCACACTTCCTGCCAGTTATTAGACTCTGCAAAAGGAACCGTTATTCTGACTTCCAGCACTTTAGATTATTTGTGCCTCTTTATGAAGTTCATACAAATGAGATTGGATAGTTTGAACTCCAGTATGGCTTCTTTTGCTTAAATCAGGTTTGTGAAATGCATCCATGTTGTTATGTGTAGTTAGAGTTTGTTTATTTTTGTTGCTTATAGTATTCAATTGTCTAACTATATATATCACAATTCATTTATCTGTTCTACCCTTGATGGGTATTTGTATAGTTTTCCATTTGGGGCTATTACGAACTTTCCTGTGCATATCTTTTGGTGAACATATGTCGGCACATTGAGTGTATAATTAGGAATGGAATTGCTGGTTCATGGGTGTGCATATGTTCAGGTTTATAGACATGGCCAATTCATTTCCCAAACTTACTATACCAACTCCTACTCCCACCAGCAGGGCACGAGAGTTCCAGTTGCTCCACATCCTTAACAATACTTGATATTGTCTGTTTTTCTCATGTTAGCCATTCTAATGAGTGGTAAGTGGTATATTGTGGAATAATATTTTTAAAGTGTAAATCACATTATGTTACTCTGCTAATAGTTCTCTTTGCACTCAGAATAAAACCCAACTCTTTAATCTGACCTGCAAGGCCCTGGCTACCTTGGCTTTCTCTGACCACTCACTCTACTCACTATGCTTCAGTTCCACTGCCTTCTTTCTAGTCTTCAAATATACCAAGGTCATTCCCAACTCAGGATCTTTATATTTTGTTTCCTCTATGTAGGGTGTTCTTCCACCAGATACTAACTCTTTCTTGTCCATTCATACCTTCAACAAATATTTTTGAGTAATCAATAGTTTTATCAAATATCACCACCCCCTCCAAGAATCCTTCCCTGACCACCATCTAAAGTAGTCATGAATATTCCACCACACCACCCCACATTCACAATCTAGTCCCTTCTCTTGCTTTATTTTCCTAGTAGCACTTATCACTACTTCCCATTTCCTCTTTTAAGATTTATATTTTCTGCTTTATCACATTAGGATATAAACTAAGAACAGGGACAATTTATCATCAATACCTAGAACAGTACACACAGTAAGTATCAAACAAATATTTGTTGGATGGAGAGTTAAGGGAAGGAATTCATAGACAGCTGCCTCAAAGATAATTATAGACTATTAAAGCTAACAGAGATCCCCCCCTTTTCCCCCCAGCTTGATGGATAAAAATGAATTCAGAAAGACAAAACAACTTGGCCAAGTTTATAGTCAGCAGCAGAGATGGAACTTTGAAACCAAGCTCAAGGTTTCTAGTGCTAGTACATTATTGTGCCTAGAAGAACAGGGGACAAAGTCTTACTCCATTTGAATGAATCTGTAATTATTGAAGGTTGGACATTAAGAATTTGTGCAGCCTGGAGAAGTCCCTGCTCACACCATGAAGATAGACAACACATCAAGAGGATCTGACATGGAAACTATTTCAGGTTCCCCCAAATAATCCCTGCCCCTGGTTCCGTGGAAGAGATGATGCTGAGAGGGTAAATATTCACAGGGGTGGCGCTCAGTCCATCTCTCACTTTCTGAAAAGAAGAAAGAGAACCATCTGGGCAGGAACAATTTCTCTGGACTCCCAGGGCCTGGATCCACCAGGGGATCATGCCCCACCAGGTGAGGGCCTTGTCTCACATGCTAGTTTGGGAGAGAATCAGGTTGTACCACAGTGTGAGCCTCAGGGCCAGTTGCATAACTGGATGTGAAATCAGTACCTTTGAGAACTTCAGCCAAAAGCACTCCTGACACCACTTGGATCTTGCTGAATCATCTCCAAACCCCATGACTGGATGATTCACTGGTCTCCTCTGGGGTCATGACTATCAGATGCTGGTCCAGAAATGAGAACTAAATTAATGAGAAAAGAGATCCTCTTGTTGGAACTCTGGTTTTTCCAGTGCTTTGACCTACCACTCCTTGGGTTTCCCAGGAACAGTGGAGACCATGTTAGTCTCCTCATCATCAATCTAAATGAACGAGAAAAGATAACCAGGTACCAACTAGATACAACAGAGAGCCAGTGTTCGGGAAGAAATCAATGTAGGATGATAAAACCATACAATCCCTTATCACACTTCCCAAATCTCAAAAACTCTGTCAACTAGTTTTGCTTCTTTGTTCCTTCTTGTACATTTGCAGCAAATTCATTTGGCAGCAAATCCTGATGGCAAAAACTGACATGAGATTATTTTGAGTCTCTATTTCTCCTACTTCAGGTGCACACTCATACATTTTGATGCAGGAATATTATCATTTGATTATGACATGCTGAACCAGATCCCAGTGGGTATTTTAGAATATGTAGTATATAGTGCATCTTGTTACTTTAATTAGAGATGAAAAATCTTTTACACCAAAACACATCTTGATCCTGAGATTTTAGGTAAGGATGGTAGACCTTAAGTTTTCATTTACCTTATTTGTTCTGCACAAAAAAGCTAAAACAGGCAATATTGCCCCCACCTAACAAATGAATAAACTGAGGCTGAGAGAAGTTAAATGACTTATCTATTGCTGCATAACGAATTACTTTAAAATTTGGTAGCTTAAAACAATACACATTTATTGTTTCACACAGTTTCTGTGGGCCAGGAATTTCAGAGTGACTCAGTTGAGTGGTCCCGCTGGAAGTCTCTCATGAGGTTGCAGTCAAGATGTCAGCCAATCATCCAGCATTCTTTATCTAAAGATTTGACTAAGGCTGAAAGATCAACTTCCAAGAATGGTTCACTCACAGAAGACCTTGGTTCCTTAGCAGATGAATCTTTCCATAGGGTTCCTTGAATACCCTCCCAACATGGCAAGTGGATTCCCCCAGAGTAACTAATCCAGAAGTGAACTAGGTGGAAGCTACATGTCTTTCATGACCTCAACTCAGAAACCACATTCCATCATTTTCACAATATCCTACTGGTTACACAGGTCAGCCTCTCCAGCGTGAGAGGGAACTATAGGAGGACAGGAATACCAGGAAGCAGATCTCAAGGGGGGAGGGTTATCTTGGAAGGCTGGCTGCCACAATTAGATAAGCAGTCGGTCCAAGATAGCACAGCAGTCAGATGTAGATTAGGACTTGAAGCCAGGCTGACCAACTCCAGAGCCTATACTTTTAACTATGACTTGATACCATCTCCTTCATTTACTTGACCATCCTCCCAACATACTGGATATCCAAGCAAATTCCAATTTCTTGTTACTATAAATAACACAACACTGAACACTTTCTACATAAGTCTCTATCTCCGTCTCCTGTTCTCCTGTTAGGACAAATGCCTAGAGGCAAAAATGCTAGACCAAAGGCATGAATTTTTTTTAATTCTCTTGTTACCTGTTATAAAAAATAATTTCCAGAAAAGAAACACCAGTTAAGAATCTCAGTGAAAGTTCATGTGAATGCCTGTCTCATTATATCCTTGAATTGAATATCATTTAAATTTGTTGATTTTATAGGCTATAAATACTTGTTTTGATTTGTATTACTTGGAATATTCATATGCTTATTAGTTTATTTGCATCATTCAGGGTCTTTTGGTTGTAAGTGTCTTGCCAATGGGTTTCAGCCCCAGGCAAGTTCGCTATGGATTCAATGTGACCAAAGAAAATGACAGCGGAACACTCTTTGGGGTGAAAGGTTATACCCAACTTTATTTCCAGGTGGTAGGTCAGTCATTAGAATCCAATTCACTCAGAGCAAGTCTGCATGCAGCAAGTCGGTCTGTGCCTCTGGGCCTCTGTCCTCGGCGCTGCCACCACTCCAGCCTCTGCTCTCCTGCAGCCTTGCAGCCCTGCCACCGTGTCGCACACAGAGCACTGAGCTGAGCTCTTTTTTGTAGAGTCAACAGCCATGTATTGCCCACAGGTGTGCAGTGAGCAAGTCAACCAGGGCCAGGTGAGAATCCCGGCCACAGGAACTCTCATTTTATCCACACTCCACCCCTCCAGGATTCTCTCCTTTCAATCTATGTGCCCTTAGTCCTCTGCAATGGTCCCTGTGCAAGAAAGCTCGAACATTGTTCTCCAGCCTCTCCAGCAAAAAGTCTTGCAGACACATGGCTCTGTCTCTGACCTCTGCCTCTTTGATCTTAATCTTAATGGCTGGAACTGCTGCTCTGGTTTCAGCTGTTGCCATAGCTCCAGTAACATCCTATTTGGCTTCCCATCTAATTTCCTTCCATCTACTCCTGCCTGTATCAAATCAACCCACATCTGGGTCCTCGTAACCCTCATGAGGCCCCTCAAATTCCTCCTGAGAGTAACAGGTCTTATTTCTTTCCGGGTTCTCATTGCTTCAGCTACTGTACGTGTCACCTCGCATTTTGTAATCACTGCCTCAAGGTGGGCTGCACTGTCAGGGAAGACAGCTCTCCCATCTCTGATCCGGACAGGACAATTCCATCCACCCACTAAGTCCCACAGCCACCGGCTCAGCCTGAGTATAGGGGCAGACCATAGCATGCTCCACAAGCTGGGGAGGGGGCTGCTCCTCTCCTTGGGGAACTTTCAGCTGCTGGGTCTTTATTTCCTTTACAACCACTGGGTGTGCTTTCAGTACGGAAGGGGCCAGTGCCTCCGGCACCACCCCTTCATCCTTCCCCAGCTCCACAATTTCTGGGGCTGATGGCACCTTTCTCTCCCCTCCCCTGAGGGCCTCCTCTGCTACAGTGCCTCACAACAGTGCCAGCTCTGTCTTCAGAAGGTCTCTTACCTTCAGCTCAATGCTTCGCAGCTGACGTTCTCATGCCACCTCCGCCTGTGCTTCCCTCAGGAGTTTGTCCTTTTCCTTGATGGTCTCTTCCTCCTTCAGAACACCTGGCAGCACTGCCGTCTCATCTCCAATGTCACCTTGCTGCTGGGGCTCTCGTGCTGCCTCCTCCCACATCAATGCCATCTCCTTCCTCAGGGAATCCACAGAGGTTTGCAGCTCGCGTTCTTGTGCCACCATTTCTTGGGTCTCCTCTGTAGACTTTTTTAATACTGTGAGAAGCAGCCAACCCACAGTCCCCACTGCCTTCCTGGCACTCTGCTTCTCAAAGGATCTGCTTACTATACCAAGGGCCACCCCTACAGCCTCAGGTGTCACCTCCACTTGCCTCCAGTCCTGGGGTGGGACCCAGTCCTCTAGGAGGTAAGCCACCTTAGACCACATACCCATTGGGGGATGGTCCACTGTCTCCCCATTCACAGGGGCAGCCCGCTGAAGCACCCCTCCCATAAGGGCAGCCTGTCTTTTTCCTTGGTCAATAATGAACTCTGCTGACTTTCGCCAATTGTCTTGCCAATGGGTTTCAGCCCTGGGCAAGTTCACTATGGATTCAATGTGACCAAAGAAAATGACAGCAAAACGTTCTTGGGAGTGAAAGGGTTATACCCAACTTTATTTCCAGGTGGCAGGTCAGTCACTAGAATTCAATTCACTCAGAGCAAGTCTGCATGCAGCAAGCTGGTCTCGGCCTCTGTCCTCGGCGCTGCCACCACTCCAGCCTCTGCTCTGCTCTCCTACAGCCTTGCAGCCCTGCCACCATGTGGTGCCCAGAGCACTGGGCAGGGCTCTTTATATAGAGTCAATAGCCATTTATTGTCCACAGGTGTGCAGTGAGCTAGTCAACCAGGGCCAGGTAAGAATCCTGGCCACAGGAACTCTCATTTTATCCACATAAGAAATACAATTTGATTTTATTTAGAAAGGTAAGTGTTGAAAAAATACAGGTGGTTCATGGAATTAAAGGGAGGGTTGGCAAACCTAGCTTGAAAAGCAGCAGGAACCACAGCATCCCCAGGACTCTAGGCAAGGGGAAGGAGTGGATAGCCTCATAGGCCACCATCACTGAAATGAATTCATTTCAACATTCTATCCATTCCTGGGTCAAAGAGCCATAGCTTGGTCATATGTCTAACTAACCAATGCCCAAAGGCTGTATCTAATCCTCAGTAAACACTCAGACTAGATGGCCTGTAAGATTATATAATAATCAGACAACCCTTAGAGTGTGTACAAGATTTATAACAATGCCCCTTCCATGGGTACCCTACTCAGTATGCCAGGTTGGGCCTCCAGTGGCTAACTCTGTACAATGTTCTCCCTGTGTCCACGACTGATGGGAATTGACAACTGACCCAAGTAAGAAACAGTAGAAAGTCTTTAAAATTGGCCACCATTGATTCCTTTCCTCCCTGCTGTGAACATGCTACTCCTCACATCAAGAGGGTAAGTCTGTTTTGCCTATGCTTAAATCTGTGTGGTTCTTAGTGAATTTCTTGATCAAGTGATGCTGTCTGACATCTAAGGCTAGATCAGAAGCTTTGCAGCTTCCACCCTAGAACATTTGCTCTTGGAACCCAGCTGCCGTGCTGTGGGGAAGCCAAACAATCCTATGGAGAGGCCTATATGGGGAGAAACTGAGATCTCCCCATTGATGGTCTGGCTGAACTCCCAGCTGACAACCAAGTGCAACCTGCTAGCCACGTGAATGCACCACCTGGAAGGAGATCCTCAGCCGCATTTCCGCAGCACCAGCTGATGATGCATGAGCTCCCTGGCAGAGCCTTGCCCGGATTCCTGACCCATATATCATGAGATAAAATAAAATCTTTGTTTTAAGCCACTAAGTTTTGAGGTAATTTGTTACACAGCAACAGATAATTGGAACGTGAAACCAATCATAGTCTTCCTCTCCCAAGAATTTGAAATTTAGGTTGGAGATAAACAGATACTGGAAATCTTAGGAGCTGAGTCTCATTAAAAGCAATCCTTGGAGATTAGAATTGGAATCACATGGAGATAATTGTATAAAATGTATAGTTCTAGTGAACCACCTTTCCCCTAACTTCCTGATCCAGGCAGATTAGAT